AAACAAATCAAGGATGGAATAATCCAAGGAACACTACAAGAAGGATGCTTGAATACGAGCTAACAGGGATCACATTATCGATGCAATTAACATGATTGGGATATTTCAATTAACAAGGTAAGAGAAATGTGTGAAGTCAAGATCATGGCATAATATCTATGCAAGTAAACAAGATTGGAACATTCCAATTAACAAGACAAGAGTAATACATGAAATCAAGAACAAGGCATAAGATCTATGCGACTAAACAAGGATGGAACATTCCATGAAACACGAAAAGAGTTATGCATGAATCAAGAACAAGGCATAATATCTATGCAATTAAACAAGGATGGAACATTTCCTATAACATGAAGAGATTTTAAATATTCAAGGAATGCAACACTTGAAATTTAAAGAGTGAAATCAAACAATGTGGAAATTTGGATATCGCACGGATTAAAACCGTACTCTTGGGATCACTTTAGGGCTACCAACCCAAGGGTACCCTCCCCTGGTCTTGGGATCACTTTAGGGCTATCAACCCAAGGGTACCTTCCCCTATTCTTCGGATCACTTTAGGGCTAATAACCCAAGGGTACCTTCCCCTGTTCTTGAGATCACTTTAGGGTTATTACCCCAAGGGTACCTTCCCCTGTACTAGAACCAAGTCCTAGTCATGAAAATTCTTGATTAATATCCCTAGTCCCAAAAATTAACAAGTTGTGTAAGTCAAGATTGTATCAAATACAAGAAATGCATTAACCACATTTCATGCACAACCAAGATTTTGGAACACACAAGTCATGCCCTAAGTTCATCAACTATAATAGCATGTGAAATGTCAAGAAATCATAGTGTGCATCTATATAGATTACAAGCAAGATATATATAGCACATGGAATCCATTGATGTAAATATACCACAAGTATAAAGTTAATGATTTAATTATTTACTAAGCAATACATGAATAATTAAATCATTCTAAGACAATTATATAAGTTCATTAAACATATTAATGAAGTCAAGATACAAGGGTTCATGATGCTCAATAAAAAGGTACAAGTTCATGAAATACAAGTACAATTCATAAGTTTAACAAGAATTCAATATCAAGGCATGATTAACTCGATGGAAGCATACAAGGGAATTTAATCTATTTAAGGGATTAAATTATCAAGATTTCAAGGTGAGTCAAATGTCAAGTTACGAGTTCACTTCATACTAGATACAACCATGTGATTTTAAGTTCCATACAAAGGAATAAATAAATGCAAGTTTCAAAACTTATCCGATTATTCTCGATTTGATACATGTGAAGGAACTTGTCAAGGAAAGCATGAATGCCAAGTTAGAAACTTAATCTAGACCTAGGAGCCATTGAACTGATTTTAATTAATCCTTTTAATTAAAATCTCTAAGTTTTGAAATTCATCCAAATGATCTCAATTTAATATATGTTATACAAGATGTCAAGACTTGATTTAAAAACATGATACAAGTGAATTCTATGCAAAACACAGCCATGAGTATTAAACTCTACTACTAGAAAAAAAAAAAAAAAAAAAATGAAAGGTTTCAAAACCTATTCAAATATTTTAGATTTAATATATGTGAAACTATATGACATACATATCAAGAATATCAAGTCGAATTCCAGTGAGTGAATAGTACACTCGGGGCAATTTAATTAATCAAATTAATTAAATATTACTAGATTTCAAAACATCTCCGATTACTCTCAAATTAATCTATGTTGAAGAGCATGCTAGGGCCTAATATAATATGCTAACACATGTTGATTTAAAGCTAGATAAGGCCACATGATTTAATATTTTATTCAAGATAAATATTTAATAAAATCTTCGTTACTTGTCCAAATGATCTAGATTTAATATATGTGAAACTATTAGACATGCATATCAAGAATATCAAGTCGGAATTCTAATGGAGTGAATAGTACACTCGGGGCAATTTAATTAATCAAATTAATTAAATATTACTAAATTTCAAAACATCTTCGATTATTCTCAAATTAATCTATGTTGAAGAGCATGCTAGGGCCTAATATAATATGCTAACCCTTCTTACTAACAGCGCTAGGCCGAGTGTAAGAATCAGTTTCGGAAAGCAACTAAAATTTTACGCTTAATAACTTCAATATGAGGATGTTTTATAAAGGCCCAAGGACTTAGCCTCATGCCTTAATCTAATTTTTGAATCATAAGGGGAACATCTTTAAAATCCATGATAGTTGAGGTCCATGATAGTTGAGGTTTATTTCTGATGAAATATAGAATTATCTGGTGTAACGCCAAGTGTCAGAGATCTTTTTGTTTTATTGCTTTTTCAAGATTTCAGATGGTGATGTTCTTAATGTAATACATTGCTACAAATTAATATTACTATCACCTAATGGTGCCAAAATGGTTATCCAATAATCTTTCAACACTTAGATAGAGACAGGTGATTCTTTCCATTAAATGATGTATTTACTCCTTACCCATGACTGATACTTAGATCGGACTTGCACAAGTAATAATCTGTCCAGTAATGAAAAGTCATCCTGCTTTTTAATTCATTATTAAATGATACACTTGTCTTTTAATTCATTGTATAGAACCATAAAATTTTATAAATAAATAAAAATATAGTAGATTCGATCTATGTTTCAATAAAATGAAAATTTAACACTTATTTGTAATCCTTTCATCTCGTATATGATATTGTGTTTGGTGACCTTTATACCAAGTATAAACACTGGTTTAGGCTAAAAGTACAGCTATTATTGAATTTTCCTCAACTTTTACATAGTAGCTGGACCTCATAATGAGACATCATAACCATAAAATTTAGCTGTCGTATCTTTTTGATAGAATCACTCACATATGATGAATTGTAAGTAGTACTAAATTGCATGATCATTATCAAAACTTCTGGTGTACATATGTTTTAAAAGTAACAATTATTTTTATTCTTATTATCAATTCTATACATAACACCATCTAGCCCAAGGAGTATGTATACATATAAAGTCTAATGTGTCTCCTCATAAAGGATTTACTTCAATTCAGAATCCTTTTCATACCCAAACACCCTTCTGATTCAGGATTGGATATAGCTTCCCATTTGACTTCTCTGCTACTTGGTGCTTGAATTCTGAACCAGTCCAAAGGAAAGATCACAAAATTTACTAACTAGTATGAATATTTGAATACCAACTGAAGTCTAGCAGAATTGTTAGGTCAACTTAGTTCTAACACTTGTTGATAATTTTATCCATTAATTCCTTCCAATATCAGGCCAAAAAAGCCTACTAGAGATTAATGAGAGTCCAAAACATATTATTTGAAGCTTACCAGTTTCTATATCATGAATAAAAACTGACACTGACATCACTAAGGATAAATAGATCATCCCACTTTGAAATGTGAAATTATTATATACAAAATTGCAGAGAAAGCTTCATGAAGTAGGTAAGAATATATAGGATCTACTCACCTAAGCCCTATAGATTGTTAATATATATATATGCACAGCACCATTTAAGCTGACAAAAAAGGTAGCAATAGTAACACACTATAATATTATCAAGGAAGTAGTAGGTTACTATTAATATGTTTTGAAGACAAAAATTAAAAAAAAAAATAAAAAATCTAGCCCACCATATAATAGGATTTCACCACATTAACATTTATAAAGCACCTAGAGGGCCTATATCCCTATCTTAGTTCCTCACATGCTGTTGTATTAAGGGGATATTGTCAACTATGCTTTTTTCTTTCACAAAGGCTGCTTGTTTAAAACCTCTTCCCCCTCAAAGGGCTATCATTTCCTGACTACCAAACATTTTATTGGGGTCATCCATGTTGGACTACCAATATTTCTGAAATAACCTAGGTGTTATGGAACTAGGTTCATAACTTTACTTGATGCAGAAGGTTTATTAGCCCTTATTCTTTGACATGATACTTCTGCCGATGAAATCTTCTTATTATTCTTCTCATTTAATTTTCTTTTGTTCTATTGTGAGCATCAAGTTTAGATGACCTAGAAAGCATCAGTTGGATGCTTTCAAAAAGCATGATAAAGCCATAGTTTCATTTTCATAGAAATATTTATATCAGAATAGTTTCATTTTAAAATGAAATTTTTTATATCAGAACAGTTTCATTTTGTATTAGAACAGTTTATGAATTTTTTACTATCATAACAGTTTTATTTTATATCTAAACAGTTTATCAAATTTTATTATATCAGAACAGTTTCATTTTATATGAAATTTCATTTATCAAAACAGTTTCATTTTCATAGAAAGCATGAAAATGGTTTAACAATAATTTATTCATGTGCATTTCTATGCATTTTGTCATTGATGCTTATATATATATTCAGAATTTTATTTTTTGAAGAATGCAATTGATGTAAGGTCTCTGATTATGTAGTGATTATATCTTATATGAATGTATTTAATTGCACATATGCATTTCAACTTATGAGTTTTCTGTGTTTGAGATTCAATTGCAAGTGGTAATAAATTTAGACTTAAATTTAATGCTAACTTTTTCAAATTTTTTTATTTTATTTTATTTTATAATAACAAAAATTCAATTAGTAAAGTGGCCATAGTCTACATATATAATCACAAAATTGATCTTTTTTTACTCATGATGAAGTTTTTGTAGGTTATTAATAACTTTTACTAGAGTTATTGAATAAGTCAGCAAAGAGCTATGGGGGATAAAGGCTGGATGCACCTTGATGACAGGTTATTAGAATAACAAATAGCTTTATCGATAAAAGCTAAAACATAATAAACCTGTTATTTTTTCAATAATTAAAAGTTGTAAGTGTTCAATTGTAGAGCTTCAGAAGAGTATACAAATGGAGCAAAAAGATTTATCGCTTAGGCTTGAGGTAATGCAAGGAATCAAGATACCATTTTATGCCCCTGTAAACTTTATTTAAACTCACAATATCAACATTACCATAAGGTGTATGAGCATATAGTGGAAAAGGGAATGGATTCCAATTACACTGTATGGGTCTTTCATGGAGAGAAGAGGAGTACACAAGTAGTAAATGAAGGCAATCAAGATCGTATGGAAATACCTGAAACATATGAGATGTTCAAGGATATATATTTTGGTGGTGAAGACAACGCTGCTACAGAGCATATTGAAGGAAGTAGAGAGGGTGAGTTTAGAGAGGCGTTGGAATATGCTGAAACTCCTTTATATACAGATTGCACGACATTTACAATATGTCAGCAACTGTTGCTTTATCTAAGCATAAAGCTGCTTTTAATCTATCTGACACCGAATATGATGAGCTTCTTAAAATTCTTCGTGTTATGCTTCCACCAGATAACCAGCTTCCTGAAGGAATGTATGAAATAAAGAAGCTATTAAAGACATTTGATTTAGGGTATGAAAAAATACATGCTTGCATTAATGATTGTTGTTTGTTTAGAAAAGAAAAGGAGGATATGAATGCATGCCCAAAATGTGGTTCTTCAAGGTGGAAAATGAACAGACAGAATAGTAAGGTTCAAGAAGGGGTTCCGACTAAGGTGTTATGGTACTTTCCAATAGTACCAAGATTTAGGCGTTTGTATCGATCGATTGAAAAGGCTGAACAAGTATTGTGGCATTCAACAATTAAAAGTCAAGATAGAAATATGCGACATCCAGTTGATTCACTTGCATGGGATATCATAAATAAGAAGTGGCCGAGTTTTGCAACAGATCCTCGAAATTTAAGGCTTGGCCTTGCGGCCGATGGGGTCAATCCATTTGGTGATCTTAGCACTAAACATAGTTGCTGGCCAGTGATTTTAGTTATATACAATTTTGACCCATTGCTTTGCATGTCTAAAGAGAATTTGATGTTGACGATGTTGATCTCAAGGCCAAAGCAACCAGGGAATGAAGGGAATGATATTGATGTATTTTTGGAGCCATTGGTGGAAGATTTAAAGGAGTTATGGGAAAAAGGTGCTCAGCTTTATGATTCATTCACTAAATCTATGTTTAATTTGAAGGTGATATTGATGTGGACAATCAATGATTTACCGGCTTATTCTAATCTGTCTGGTCAGGCAACAAAAGGTAAGTGTGGTTGTCCAGTGTGTGCTAAAGAAACATGCTCAGAGTGGCTGCCATGTAGTGGGAAGACTGTGCATAGGGATACTCGGCGATTTCTTTCAATTAATCACAGCTATAGAAAGAAGAAAACTTGGTTTGATGGAAAAGAAGAATTGAGAAGGCCACCTAGAGCATTATTTGGTTCAGAAATTTTTCGTATTGTTGAGAATTTTGAGAATAAGTGGGGAAAAACACCTAAAATATGCATGAATTCCAACATAAATTCTTCCAAAAAACGTAAGAGGTCCAAAGAAAATCCTTCTGAAAAGAATGACACTTCCCAAAAAAATCCCAGCACTTGGCCATGGAAGAAAAGGTCTGTATTTTTTGAATTGCCATATTGGGAGGTATGTAATTTGAAATCATTACAGAGTTTAACTTTTAGGCATTATTATTTCTTTTAGGAGATCACATTCCTTACTAATAATTCATATTTTCTTGTTATGATAGGCACTACCTCTTCGTCACAGTTTGGATGTAATGCACATTGAAAAAAATGTTTGTGAGAGCATTCTCGATACTTTATTAAATATGAAGGGAAAATCAAAGGATGGACTCAAGTCTCGTATGGATCTAGAAAAAATGAGCATTAGGTGTGATTTGGACCCAAAGGAATCAGGCACGAAACATTACTTGCCACCAGCACTCTATACATTATCGAAGGAAAAGAAGGGAATTTTTTTAAAAAGGTTACAACAATTGAAGTTGCCTAATGCTTATAGTTCAAACATTGGGCAACGAGTCTCGTTGGGTGAATGTAAGATTAGTGGCCTAAAATTCTATGATTGTCATATTTTGATGCAACAATTATCACCTGTAGCTTTACGTGGATTAGCACATAAAGGTCCAAGGAATGCTATATTTCGCTTATGTGCATATTTCAATGGAATATGCCAAAGGGTGATTGATAGAAAGCAATTGGAAAAACTTGAAAATGAAATTGTTGAAACTTTATGCATGTTTGAAAGGTTTTTTCCACCATCTTTCTTCGACATTATGGTACACGTCACCATTCATCTTGCACGAGAAGCTCGTCTTTGTGGACCAGTGCACTTTCGTTGGATGTACCCATTTGAGAGGTAATCTATTTATCATATTTCTTTTTTTATATGTAGTTATAGATATTTTTAGTTTACAAATATAATTGCCTCATGTCATACACAGGATTATGAAGGTTTATAAAGGATATGTTAGGAATCGAGCAAGACCGAAAGGGTGCATAGCAGAATGTTATTTGGTGGATGAGTGCGTAGAATTTTGTAGTAAACAGATGAAAAAAGTATCTGAAATAGGTTTTCGTCGATCTAGAAATGAAGATATTGAATGTGAAAGTACGGAAAGAGGACGCCCAATATCTAAGGGGATTTCAAAACCCATTCCTCCTGACATGTTAGCCATTGCTCATCGTTATGTATTATTCAACAGTGATGAGGTTGAACCATACATAGAGTAAGATATTATTAATAAATATTTTTTTTCTTTAATAATTATCCAAAAAACTTGAATAACCATATTGTTTTACATGTTAGAGAGCATCGGGAGGAACTCAGGCGTTCTGACAGTCGTCTAGCAAGGAATGAACATTTGTTAGAGAAGAGACATATTGAGACCTTCAGTTCATGGATAAAAACTACGATCAGTGTAAGTACAAATGTATCAAGTAAGTTAAAGTGGCTTGCACGTGGCCCTAGAACAGAAGTAATGTCCTATTCTGGCTATGTTGTGAATGGTCAACGATTTCACACGAAGGATATTGAGAGAAGCACACAAGATAGTGGTGTTTCTATTGAAGCTGAAACTATATGCCGATCTAGTGTGAGAGACACAAATCAAATTACTGAAAAAATAACTTATTATTGCATTCTGAAAGATATAATTTTGTTGAACTACTACACTTTTGAGGTGCCATTATTTGATTGTGATTGGGCAAACATTAGAAATGGCATCAAAGTTGACGATGGATTTACGTTGGTGAACCTTCGTGAAGGTCAAAGTCAATTTGCAAAAGATCCATATATCCTTGCATCGCAGGCAAAGCAAGTGTTTTATTCTAGGGAATCCGAAACATCAAGTTGGTATGTTGTACTTAAAGCACCAATTAGAGGATCTCATGATGTAGATAGTTTTGAAGAAAACCCTTATGTGACTTATGCTCCTTTAGATGTATCAAGACTTGACATTGTTGATGATGATGATCATCCATATGTACGAGATGATTGTGAAGACATAATAGTGTAGAATTCAGGATTATAGCAAGTGTTGGTCTTATTTTTTGGTGGCTCTTATTTGGTGTGCAATCTGGTTTTGGTATATATGTCCATTAATAAAATATTATTTTGTTGTAAGAGATTGTTTCACTCTTTATTAGTGAGATGATAATTCATTTGTGTCATTGTATTACTTTGTTATTATTCTTCTCACTGCAGATTTTTAAGCTTCTACACAGATCAATTTTTACATCCTTTTCATTATGTCTGACAATGCCGAGGTAAGCATCAACCTTAGTTAATGTTTTTATTATTTGTAATTTAATGTTTAAATTTAGGTTTGACTATATTTTTATTGTGATTTTAATGTTCTTATATCAATTTTCATGTACTTGGAATGAAGAGTTCTAGAAAAGTTACAAAAAGATTAGAACGGGAGCGTCAAGCAATTTTGGCTAGTATTGTGCATCAACCCTCAGCTGTACGCATTTCTGATGGGGGTTCAAACTCCCCTCATACATCCACAGGTGACCAAAATGTAGGAGTTGGTGATCCTTCATCCAATCATGCTAGTTCTCAAGTCCCTACCCCTACGGACACCGCAACAAGTGCTACCAAACGAAAGGTTAGGGGGAAGTCTACATTGTGTGGTATTGGTTCATCACAAGAAAAGAAGCCCCGTGTGGAATTTGATGAAAATGATCATCCAATTGGGAAAATTGGTAAGAAATATAATTCAGCCCTTCCGATAATAGTGCGGGAGCTAGTGCCGGTAACTATACGAAGATGGAACACCTTACTAGAGCAATTCGGAGATGAATTATGGGAGGCTATACAGGTATTTTTCAATTGTTTATTTGAATAAAATGAGAGTATATTGGACATAAACTAAATATAATAATAATTAGTATGTGTTCTCTATTTCCTATTTTCTTTTATCTTTTGTACTCTTTAGAAGAAATCCTTGTGAGACTGAGCTGTGTGTATTATAGTGTTATTTAAGCCTACAATAAATAATTAATGCGTTTTAAGTGGAATTCTCATCATATGTTGTTTTTCAATCCATTCTTTCTTCTGTTGCCATGGTAGTTGTGACTATAATAAAGGAGTATTAATAATGACTTGTTTCCATCATATTTGGAATTTGACTACAGTTGCGGTTTAATGTTGACGATAGTGCATCCCGATACTCATTTCAAAAGATGGGAGCTGCATGGCGCACCTATAAATCAATTCTGACAAGTGATGTGCTGAAGGTGGGAAAAAACACACGAAATTTACAACTCATGAAGCCTCATAATGTGCCCACAATGGAGGAGTGGCTAAGTTTTGCTAGGCAGCGTTTATCAAAAGAGCATGCTGTGAGTATATATTTTGAATTATATGTCCTTTTTACCTTTTCGTTTTTCTACATGACGTATATAAATTATCTAAACTTTTGTATTTGTTGGTGGAAAGGCAAAAAAATCAAGAATTAAAAGCTAAAAACAAAACCCCCCACACTATGAGCCGGTTGGGATATGCTGGGTTGACTAAGGAGATGGTAATGAAATAGAATTTTCTATTTTTTTTAAATCATTGCTTAATTTGTGTGGGGTTTTAATATGTAGCAGTGGTTTTGAAGATACATATATATTGACACACAGTTATTATTATGAGTCATCCATATTCTATGTACTTGCTCACATATCAAACACATTAGACATAACAATAGGCAAGATACACTTACTCGCATATTAAACACATGAGACACAACAATGTATAACCATTGAATGCACACAAGTACTACTTTAGAGTTAAAAACTAGGTTTACAGTTTTTGCCAAACAATGCCTTAAGATAATTGAAAATCTCTTCAACTAAAAGGCCCCCCCCCCCCCCCGCGGTAAACTCCCGGTAAACTCCAACCTTCTTTCGCTAGGAGAGCTAAATTAAATGCTGCCTCCATTATAATTGGATCTCCAATGCTAACGTCCATCATGATGATATTTCTTTTCTCACATGCATTGGCAGGAAGTTTAAAATATGGCATGCAGGAATATGACTGAAGCATAATTTTAGTATTATGCTTGGATAACGATACAAGAAAATAGCTTTTTAGCTACGAAATATTTACTATGAAATTACTTTTGCAGTAAATAGTAATGTATTTACTAGGGAATATAAATTCGTAACCTTTACAAGATTGTATGTTTTATGTAGGGGTCGCAATTTATGCCCAAACCCATTAAACTGCCCAAGTTCGTTCGCTAAAATTAAATTACTTAGGTACCCAAATTGTACTGTTATTAGGGACTGAAATGTAATTCTACAGTAGCATAGTTCAGCCACTGATTCTCTTAATCATATATTAGAAAAATGTAGTTGCTTAGATGAAGAACACTGCAATTACACATAGGTATGAACACTTAAACAAAGCATAGTTTGTGAGGTCTACCAGACCTGAAACTATAATGGTCACTTTCTTGACCATGATTCAACTTGTTTAACTCTAAATCATCAATTCAATCATGCTTAGATGATGGAAAATCAGAGTATAACATGATTATAGCATGTTAAGTTCAGTTTTAGAAGCATAAACCAGAAAATCAATTCATACTTGAGGTTTGAGATATGAAAATCTATACCAACTTCTCTCATAGTTTTTATTTTATGAGAATCAACCTTGGTAATATGTTTTAATGTTTATGTTTAAGGGCTTTTTATTATTTTATACTCTTATGTAGAAAGAAATGTCAGACGCGCCCGACTCCATTACAAGAGTAGACGTGTGGATTAAAGCGCATAAAAGAAAGGACAAAAGTTATATAAATGAAGCAGCCAAGGAGGCAGCGGTAAAAAATGAATCCTTTTAGCTTAAGTAGTTGGTCATTTATATACTTATTAAATATAGAAGTGTGTTCTACATATATTATTGTTTTAGGAACAAAGGGAAGAATATACCAACACCACTCAAAGTACAGGAATTCATGATGATGCAATCTCACATGTAATGGGTCCTGAACATCGAGGAAGAGTGAGAGCATTAGGATTTGGGGTAACAATGACAAAAATAAATGCTCAGAATGATGTTTCTCGAAAATATGATCGGACAATTGGTTCCTTGGAACAACAATTGCAGCGACAACAACAAATACAACTGAAAATGCAACAGCAAATAAAAGCACTCATGGTAAGTGAACTCCATAATCAATAGTATGTATGTGTGTATGCACTACTCTTAGTCAATAAGTCTCTTTTTTAAGCATTATTAATTATTTTGTTTCTTTTTTTTTTTTTTCATCAACGATTCAATATTATGGTGGGCACAAAATGCTAACAACCAGTCCTGTCCCAATGCTCCACCTCAAGTCCCACCTACTGAAGATGTTGTCCATAAGAAGTGTGAGTTACTACATTATAATGGGACAGGAGTAATTTTTTCTAAGGGTGAAGTTGATTCAACTGATCCTGATGATCTTATAGATGATGTTCCTCTCGGTTTAGAATGTTGGAAAATATATATCACCCAAGTCATTGCACCCAACGTGCCGATGTAACGAATTCTTCAATCTTACAATACTCTTGAACATGTGATGGGTGAAACAATTGCATGGCCTAGCAGGTTCATCAAAATTCGTAAGTCCAAATACTTTTTTGAGCACGTTTTAAAAAGTTTTTAATGATATATGAATCTGAAAAACACTATTTGGTTTACATGTAGTGCCGAATGTAGGATAAGCTTGCATTTCTGAGTTTTTGCTTAAATGATGCTTGAGGTATGTATTTTTTTTTCTTGGATTGAAATTGCTGATTTTGTGTATCAAAGTTAGATGTATTAGAGTTTGAATTCAGGCTGCTGGGCTATTCAATTTTTTCTACATCCAATTTTTTCTCTATTTACAGGTCCAAGATTATCATCTTCTTTTGGGATACCTGGGTGTGCTTCTTTTGGGATACACTATTTGGTTTACATGCAGGGCTAGGATAAGCTTTCTGAGTTTTTGCTTAAATGACGCTTGAGGTATGTAATTTTTTTATAGCATTGCTTCCTATCAAACATTTTACTTAAATGATGCTTGAGGTTGTGATCTCTTTTATAGCATTTTTATTATTGAGACTTGACTCTCATGGTTTAGAAAGTGGTAGTTTAGTAGATAACTAGTCTCTATTTAATGATTCACACACATACTTGAACCTGTAAGAGTAGCAACTTTAAAGGCTAGGTAACTCCTAACCCTAAAAAATTAAGTACATAAATTAGTATATAATAACAAAAATTTCTCATGACAAAACAATCCTAGTATATAATCTGAAAACTGAATCACAATCATCAAAATGTAGCTGTGGATCTGACCCAAGAAGGCTATAGAGATGACTTGGAATATAAACATGAGAAAGACCCATCCTAGTCCTAAAGTCATTACAAAACAATCCAAGTAACTCTCCTGTTGCAATATCTATATGGAATCCTTCTCATCCATAGATGTAGGTCTGGTAAGCAAGACATTATTAGAGATTTTTGTGGTGGGGAATGAAGCCTAATTGATTACGAGATTTAATATGGTTCAAGGCTTTTCTAGGTTTATTGGCAACGATTTTAAACATAAACTTGTATAAGGTATTGTAACATGCTATGGGTCTAAAATCTAAAACTAAAGAAGAGAAGCTAAACTTAATGGCTTTTATGATCTTTGGACCAAATGCTGCTATGATCTTTGGACCAATTATACCTCATGATTTATTGAAGAAACGAGAGTGAAGCAATCTGGGCCTGCACATTTGATTTCTTCAGTAGAGAGTTCAACCTGCAAATCACTGCTAATTTTTGGAGGAATAGAGTTAGAAAACCAATTGGTTCTCACCAGCCAACAATTTCTGAAGCAGTTCACAACTTCATCCTTGATATCCTTGATATTAGTTAAGAGATTTCCATCCTCTGTTTTCAAGGAACTGGTTTGTTTAGTGGCCTTCGTAGAAGTCACAGTTTCGAAACAGAAATTCTGGTCTCCAAGATTGAGCCATTGGATTCTAAATTTCTATCTCAGAATTGATTCTTCAAGTAGAGCTAGCTTGGCAGACTTGGAAATACAATATTTCTAGGAACTAACATAGGGTTAAGTTGCAGTTAAATCTAGGATGCATGGAGCTCTTCCTTGGATTACAGTACCTTGGACGAAATACCACTATAATCTTTCCTATTGATCTTTTTAGCTTCAATAGCTTGTTTACAGTATACTCTGAATAGAGGACATCTTTTCAACTCAGGTTTTCCACACTCCAGCTAACCATAGGCAAGGTTGAAATTCATTAGGTGATAACAATCATGAATTTTACCCAACTATTAAATGATCACTTGTATAAAAAATTGGAAAATGCTTCTTGTGCAGAATTGGGTCAAACCGATGAGGCGAAACGGCTCGGTGAGCCCCACGAAGAAGGTGGGGTCCATCAATCTACTCTTTCTTGTCGATCGACTTCCTAAAAATTTAAGGAATATCATAAAAAGGAAAGTAAGTGAAAAGTGAAAACCACTCTTGATCGCGTTGGAACAAAGTAAAGAAAGAAAAATATGATTTAGGAGAGCAGAAAGTGTTTAGTTACCCAATAAACAATAAAGAAGTGTTTGGTTGTTGATGAATAGGTAAAAATGCTTTTATTTTGAAAATTTACTAATATAATCATGACATTGAGTTATCGAGGGAATATATATATTATCGAACAAAATTGAAAGAAGGATTAAAAAAAAGGGACCCCTTCAACTTTTACACATTTACGTATAACCTCCTTTGATTATGGCAATCTCCTTAGACTATTGTAAACCCCAAAATTGTCCCTTGCCATTATTTTTGTGTTAAAAAAGAATGGAAATGGATTAGAAGTTAACCAATATGATTTTCTTTTAACCAAATTAACCATTTTTTGGATTCAAATATGGCAAAATGAATTTGGTATATCCCAATAGTAGATCCTAGGGTCTTAACTCTAATTTGGATTTTTTTTTTTCTTTTTCAAAGTCATTGTTTTAACTTGGTATTTTCATTCACAATTTTTAAGGATAGTTCTGAAATTGAGTGATGAAGATTGGGTTAGCTGCAAATTTTTGAAATTTAGGGGGCTTTTTTATTTATTCTTTTGATGTTTAGGGAGTTATTTGCAAATGCAAAATAATTCAACATTTTTTTTTTTTGGTGGGGGGGGGGTCTTTTAACCATATATATATTTACCAAGTATTTTATAGAGAATCTGCCTTCACAATGTCTTAGTTTTATAGGATTTATCATATTGCCGTGTTCGTGTCTTGCCATTCTGTGTATCATATCCATATTCTTACTTTTTACACAATAAGTAGTTGGTCATTCCTTTGTTGTCTCTCTAACAAATTATTATTTATGTACTTACTTCCATTCCATTGTTGTCTCTCTACCAAATTAATTGTACCCAATTCTATTTTCTCTGTTTGCAGGTTCAAGATGATCATCTTCTTTTGGGATACCCGGCCCCTGGGTGTGTGCCTTAGGGTACTAGAATATGATGACAGGCACTACAATGAAGATATCAAGACAAGAAAAATACAAGACTAATTGGGTTGCCTAGAAGAGTGAGCAATTGCCTTAATATTTTGATTTTTTGTGGATATTGCTACTTCCAGATTATAATTTTTGTGGATATATATATATATATATATATATATATATATATATATGTTAACAATGATGGAATTGTACATTGAAATCTTTAATGAATATAAGACTTGTTGAAATTTATTTGTTTGTGATTGGTAGGATTTCCCCTTTTTTATTGTTTATAAAGCTTGAGCTATTTTTTTGCATGCACCAAATATGTTGATGTTGTTAGTTTGCACAAGGTTTGGCGTGAAAATATATGGCTTTGGGTGGAGTTTTGGTTGTGTAATATTCATAGAATGAGGTGTTGGATGATGGATGGTTATTGGCTAGGTTATTATGTTGGATCTCATGAAAAACAGGTATACAAAATTTTTTGGGCGGAAGAAAAAAAAAAAAAAAATCCCTTTCACAACGGGCAAAGTCCCTCATAGAACAAGCAAAAATTGTTGTGCAAAGTAACATTTCTAAAAGGGCCTATGCCCGTTGTAGAAAATCACACCTTCTACAATGGGTATGCCCGTTGTAGAAAATTGACTTTCTACAATGGGCAACGCCCGTTGTTGAGGTATTTCTCACAACGGGCTAAGTCCCTTGTAGAACAGGCAAAAATCGTTGTGGCAAGTTAGCTTTCTAAGAGGAGCACCGTCTGTTGTAGAAAATGCCCAATGTAGAAAATTGACTTTCTACAACGGCCCCTGCCCATTGTCAATATTGACTTCTACAACGGTTGTAAACCATTGTAGAAAGTGCACTTTCCACAACGTGCTGAAACCGTCGTAGAAGACCATGACTTAACAATGACAGGGGATACCACAACGGGCCATGCCCATTGTAGAATTGTTTTTTGCCCCTTGTTAAAAACAATTTTTGTTGTAGTGATTCTATGTAGGTAAAGTGTACATGAGTACACTCTTTTCAATATATTTAACATGTATGAGATGAGGCCAGAGGCCAATGACATGTTTCTTGCTTTCTATGCACTTTCGTTTTCAAAGCTTAATATGAAAATGTTGAAAAATGCTTAGACATTGTGTCATAACTTTTGCATTAGGTGTGGGAATTTCATTTTTATTCTTTCGTAGGGTCTCATTTATCTTGTATGAAGTGTGGCCAACGGCCAAACGGTTATTTGAAACCATTTCCTAATTTTAGTTTTCAAATTTCCCATTTCTAGTTCATTTTTGCCTTTTTGACCGTTAGGGGGTCAAATTTTGCATCGGTGGTATTTTTAAGCCGTGCACTATTGTAGCATGTCCTAATAGGTAAGTTACGTTTGCGTGCATGGTCGTTTCCGGGCAAACCTTCTCCTTTGGTGAAATGAGCCTCCTATGGATTCATTTTGCACTTTTGTTGCATAATCTAATTTTAGGGCATTCTGGGGTTTTCTTTCTGGAAATAAATTCCGGTCTTCACATGGTCGCTTAGAAAATGTGATTTTAGCTGGGGTTTATTTTTCGTGTTTTAACATAAAATGTCGTCTTGGTGCCGGAAATCGATCGCAAATTTCAGCTTTCTGATTTTTTTAGCAGCTTTTTGGATCTTCATGACCAGATTTCATGGAGGGGCATTTCGGGTATTCTACATTGCATTTTATTTTAATTCTCTCAAGATTCATGTATAAAATTCATTTTTGAGGGGGGTTTCTTCTTTGTGTTTTTCCAGAAAAATTTATCTTCTACCCGTTTTTGCTCTCAGTTGTAGACAGTCACTGTAGCAACTTTTAACCCTCTTGTTCAGTTCTAATCTAGGGGCATTTTGGGAATTTTATAGTGAGTTTTTTTTTATTCCGTTTACGAGGTCGGGTAGAAA